AGCTTCCGAAATGTACTCGCAGATAACTCAGCCTTGAGTCTGATAGCTCTAGGCTAGTGTTACAAAGCTCTTAATCCTGTCAATTATGGCTCTCCCCTCAACCCCAAGTCTACAAACAAAAGTGAGCTCTTAAGCTCTGGTTCCATGGCTTAGCAGTTACAAGGTCCATTAAGTCTTTATGTTAAGTCTCTGGTTCTTTGCAGTTGCTGCTGTGGCTGTTGCTCCCTCGTCTGCCTGGTCTAAGAATCTCTGGCCTCAAAGGATGTACTATATTATCTTTGCTGGTGGGGAAGATCCTCTAATTCTGCTGCTGGATCTGCTCAAAATATTGGCAAGACTAGCCAATTCCCTATGGGTAGGATAACACACCCTATTCACATATTCCCACTCATTCACATGGCAATGGATAGGAAAGCCATTTTTAACAATAAACTTAACACCACAGTAACAAAAATGGGCCTGGAATTTGGTACTATGAATTATTGATTCACTGAAAATCCTTTTTCAAAAAACATCAATGGCAAATATACATATGGACCTCACCTGATGGACTACGTAGGATTCAGATTGACTACATCTGTAAAAAGAGAGGATGGAGAAGCTAATATCAGCATTCAAAACAAGGTCAGGGGTTGACTGTGGAACAAACCATCAATTATGTGCAAGTTCACACTAAAGCTAAAGAATGAAAATAAGTCCATGAGAGCCAAATTATGACCTTGAGTCTATCCCACCTGAATTTAAAAACCATCTCAAGAATAGATTTGATCCACTGAACACTAACAACCAAATAACAGACAAGTTGTGAGATGAAGTCAAGAATATCATCCATGAAAAGAACTAACGGTCATTAAAAAGACAGGGGGGAAAGACCAAATGGGTCTCAGAGGATACCCTGAAACTTGCACTAAAACAGAGAGAGGCCAAAATAAAATGAAGACATGCTGAAATAAGAGATATGAACAGAGGACTTAGAGGGGCACACTGCGGTGGTGGTCAAGACAGCGTAGTACTGGTACAATTGACAAACACATACATCAATGGAATAGAATTGGCAAACCAGAAATCAGCCCATCTACCTATGATCAACTGATTTTTGACAACGAGATGAAATCAGTCAAGTGGGAAAACGACAGCCTTTCTAACAAATGCAGAAGAACATCTGTAGAAGACTCAAGCAATATTCACACCTCATTCCATACACAAAAACCTACTCAAAGTGGATCAAGGACCTAGGACTAAAACCAAGGATTATAAATTTCATTAGAGAAAAGCTTGGAAGAACTCTAGAAGCGCTAATCCACAACATAAACAGTCTTCCAAGCATCCTGAAAAACCTACAACCAGAAGATAAAAGAGATGAATTGGACCTTCTAAGATTAAAATCCCTATGCACATCCAAAAACTTCTCCAACAGGGTCAAAAGGGAAGTCACAGACTGGGGAAAAAATATTTGGTAATGAAAGTTTTAGTTTAATTGGTTCCACAGTCAACACTATTGGTAACAGCAGCCAGGAAATCAAGATATGAATTGCATTGGGAAAGTCAGCTGTGAGGGACCTCTCAAGAGTACTGAAGAGCAACAACGTCAGGCTGGAGACTAAGGTGCGCCTGATCCAGGCTATAGTCTTCGCAATTAGACGCTATGCATCAGAGAGTTGGACAGTGAATAGGGATGACAGAAAGAGAATTGATATCTTTGAGCTGTAGTGCTGGAGAAGAGTGTTGAATATACCATGGACTACTAGGAGAACAAACAGGTTTGTCCTGGAGAGGGTGAAGCCAGAATGCTCCTTGGAGTCAAGGATTCTGAAGCTTCGTCTGACATACTTTGGGGATGTAAGGAGGACCTGGTCTTTGGAGAGGGACATCATGTTTTGGAGAGTGGAGGGACAGCACAGGAGAGGAAGATCCTAGATGAGATGGATCAATTCTGTGAGTGAAGTGGTAGGAATGAGTGTGTTTGAGACAGTGAGGTTGGCACAGGATAAAACAGCGTTTAGGGCTCTTGTACATAGGGTCGCTATGAGTCGCAAGCAACTTGATGGCACGTAACAACAACGACATGTTTGATAAAATACTTATATCTGTAATTTATAAAATACTCAAGCACCACAAAATAAAGGTAAACAACCCAATTGAAAAATGGGCACAGGATATGAACAGACACGTCACCAAAGAAGACATTAAGATAGCCAACAAACACATGAAGAAATGTTAAAATCACTAGCTCTAAGAGATATGCAAATCAAAACAACTATGAGATATCATCTCACCCCAGTAATAGCAAAAATTAACAGAACAGCAAACAACAAATGCTGGCAAGGTTGTGAAGAAACTGGAACCCTTCTTCACTGTTGGTGGGAGTGTAAAATGGTGCAACCACTATAGAAGGCTGTATGGAGCGTTCTAAAAAAGTTGCAAATAGAAATACCATTTTACCCAGTAGTTCCACTACTGGGAATATACTCAAAAGAAACCATAACTGCCACCCAAGCAGGTATATGCACACCACGTTTATTGCAGCTTTGTTCACAATAGCTAAGAGTTGGAAACAACCCAAGTGCCCATCAACAAAGGGATAGAGAAGCTGTGGTATATTCACACAATTGAATACTATGCTGCAGTGAAAAACAAGAAACTCATGAAATACTATAGAAAATGGGTGACCCTGGAGGACATTATGCTGAGTGAAATATCTCAGTCACAAAAGGACAAATATTGCATAGTGCCACTGTTATAAAACAGGACTGACATCGGGGTTGAGGGGAAACTAAGAAAGGATAAATAATGTATACTGCATTGAAATAGATGAGGGAGAGAACTGTTTAGGAGGAATATGATTAGGTATTATTGTCATGACAAGAGTCCAGAATGAAAGCTGCATTATAGAGTGGACTTGAGGGAGGTGGGGAGATTGTGTGACAATGAAAGAATTTTTTTTTTTTTACTTTTCAAAGAGAAAAGCGAACTAGGGGGATTGGTAGGCAGGGAGGAAAGTGTACAACAACGAATGAATGAAAATCCAAAGTCTCTGTAAACTTTTATTAAAATAAAAAATAAAAAGACAGAGTAAAACATCATAATGAAATGCACAAAGACCTGGACGGTTCTAAATCAGGAAGAGTATGCATCAGGACTGTATCCTTTCTCCATACCTATTCAATCAGTATGCTGAGCAAAGTATTCAAGAAATTGTACTTCTGAAATCCAAAGAAGAATGTGGCATCAGGATTGAACATCAACAATCTGTGTTATGCAGATGATACAACCTTGCTTGCAGAAGATAAAGAGTACTTGAAGACCAACAGTCATTCTAAGGGTGGTTACAAAGTCATTTTTAAGTTAAAAAATGAGTTTTGAGTTCCAAGAGTATCATATTAATTAAGATCAACAAATATTTTCTGAAAAAATTTGAGAGCACTGTTAGGGTTTGTTTGGTTTTTTTTAATTTATCAACTAGCCTAGTGGTAGGAAGCTGAACTGCAATCCCAAAGGTATGCTGTTCAAATCCACCAGCTGCTCCAAGGGAGGACAAAGCACATCTCCTCTCATATGATTTACTGTCTCTGAAAAATCACTGCGGGGTCAGCTACTGGTAGGTTCCAATTTGATGGCACACACCACCATCAACAGCAGCTAATACAGTAACAATATATTTTCTCTATTTGACATGCTTTGAAATTCACCGATTAAAAATTGAAGCTATCTAAATTTAAAAATTACTTTGGGGGAAAAAAAAATCAACCCTAATCCCAAAATTAGGGAACTCTGGTGGCCTAGTAGGTAAGGAGTTAAGCAACCAACCCAGAGGCAGCAGTTTGAATTCACTAACTGCTCCAAAGGAGAAAGATAAGCAATTTCTTATGCAATTGACAGCCTCTGAAAACTAGCTAGAGGTTTAGCTATGAGTTGATTCCAAATCCATGGCAATGAGACTTTTTCTTAATCCAAAAACTATTTTTTCTGATACAGTCTCTGCTAGCTTTGTACATATGTACAACCATTTGACTATCATTCTGTGTATAAAACTTGCATATTATTTCTTTTATTAACATCCTACTTTGGGACCTCAGTAATTTTATTATTCAACTAACACTACATTAGGGAGCTCTGGTGGCCTAGTGTTAAAAAACTGGGTTGTAACCCAGAAGGCCTAAAGAACGAATCCACCAGCTGTTCTATGGGAGGATGGACATTCTCCTTCCATGCGATTAACTGACTCTGAAAGCCTGCTGGAGGGTCAGCTATGCGTCGACTGTGACTCAACAGCACAAAGTAACAAAAATATTGCATTGAGATAATATACTATCACTTACTTAGTAAGTTTAGAAATGCTTTACAAGAAAAATGCTTGGTGCAAAAGGTATTTCAAAGTCAATGCCTTGGATAATACAGGATTAAAAGAGAACTTTAGGAAAATTAGGCTTTAAATATTTCTATGTTAAAATCTTATAAAGTTATAAAATTATAATAGACTGTATTACAAATTTAATGTACTGCATTTACTTTTTCAAAATCTAAGACTTCTCCAGAAAATTAAGCCATATGGTTTCTATATATTTTGAGAGAAAAGCAGGAAACGGGGACACTGATTATTGAACAGATTGTTCCCAATATTTATTCTTTGAATGTTCACATCATAACAGGGTCTCAGTGAGTCCTAAAATAAGGTCAGTGTATATTCCTTTCATTTAATGTCTAAAACACAAGTATCAATAATGGTCACCTACTAACATTATATAAGGGCTCAAGTCACAGATTTATAATTAAACTTTAAATAATCACATAATAAAAAACAAAAATACACAAATAATAACTTTTTTAAGTACACTACAGAAAATTTAAACATGGCATTGTTTTTTCTGATCACATATTAGAACCAGCATTTTCTTTGAGCTATCTGCATTTAAATAATCATTTCTAAATTATTTGTCCATCTGAGAACTCTTAATATCTTCAAGATCATTAAAGTTCTGTCTTATAGAATGTCCTTATTGTCATATATTTGAATAGTAACGATCACGATTTTGAAAGTCTCTGTGAGCATATCTTGCATCAGTTTTGCTATGGGGGATCCTTCCAAAAGGTTCAAGGTCATTGAAACAGGATTCAAACACTTCATCAACAGCCTTTTCGGCAACTTCTTTGCTGATATTCCTAACAGCCAGGATAGAAAGAATGGCTCGGTCTCGCACACAAGTCTAAAGAGAAAGAAAAGTATGTAGCTTTAATTCTGTACAAAAATTAACTATGAAATAATAATTTATACAGCATCTTTACAACATTTCCTCTAATTTTTAATAATAGCTTTATACAACATGTGAACAGTTAAAATTCATTTCCTGTATCAATGTCTATCATTACAAAAGAGATGAACAAAGAAATAGAACTCTTATGTTATAAAATATGCTTTGTCCTATTGGAAATTAATTAGGCATAAGTAAGACCTCCTTTATCTGCTCATCTTTTCCAGTAACATAATTAGAGGTTATTCTTTGATATGCTAGACAGTGTCTGCATTACAAATTTAACGTATTGCATTCACTTTCTTTAAAATGCTCATCAAAGGGAGCTCTGGTGACCTAGTGGCAAGAAGCTGCACTGCAATCCAAAGGCACACAGTTCAAATCCACCAGACGCTCCACTTGAGAAGGAGGGGCAATCTCCTTCTGTGCCAATCGAATCCAACTTCATGGTACACAACAACAATAACCAAAAAAAAAGCTTATCAAGACTTTTCAAAAAAAAGTAGCCCATATAGTTTCCCTATACGTTTTGCGCAAAAAGCAGAGAGCAGGGGCACTGAGTTCAACAACATACACACAAAAATATTTATAAACATGCTCCCAACTAAATTTTTCATAGGGTTTAATTAGACTTAAAGATAGATTTTTATTTGTGCCTCTCTCTCCTTTAAATGTTCAGTTTTAGGCCAGTGAAGCCTAAAACTTTAGGAAGCCCTGGTTGTGTAGTTCATATCCACCAGAAATTCAACAGAAAGATGAGGTAGTGACCTCCTGTAAATATTTACAGCATAGGAAACCTGACAGAGTAGGGTAGTAGTGTTTTACATTGTTTTGATTTTGCTTTTAATGCTAGAGAACTTTCCACCTGAGGAGAAGGCTCAAGGCAATAGGAAAACTCTCCAAACTTAGAAAGTGTCATTATTTTTAAGGAGGAAAAAATATTTTAATCAAATTATTCCCCCCCCCGGGACAAAACATAAACAAATTATTGTATGGAAACCAATAAAAAATTTTTTTAAAAAATCTTGTTTCTCCTCAGTGTTCTTTATATAAGAATTCAAGTTTAGTTCTAAAGAAAATAGTTTACCTAATGTTGTTGTTGTGTGCCAGCAAGTCATAGGGATCCTGTAAATATGGGCTCTGAACCTTGTCCTACCCTGAGTCAGATACACCTGACCCCATTGTCATGGTCACTGTGTCAATCCATCTCATCTTCTGTACTGACTCTCTACCTTTCCAAGCATGATGTCCGTCTCCAAGGACCGGTTGCTCCTGGCAACATGCCCAAAGTATGTGAGACCAAGCTTCAAAATCCACGCATCCAAGCAGTGGAATTGCTGGGTCAAATGGTAGGAATGTACTCTAAAAAAAGTGGAGTCACAACTCAAAACAGATGTTTGCACATCCAAGTTTACTGCTGCATTACTCACAATAGCAAAGAGACAGAAGCAACCCAAGTGTCCATCAATAAACGAATGAATAGAAAAACTATGATACATCCACAATGGAATATTATGCAGCAATGAAAAACAATGAAATAGTAAAACATTACACAACATGAGGATATTATGTTAAGTGAAATATCTCAGCATAAAAGAATAAAAACTGCATAGCGCCACTGTTCTAAAACAGGGCAGACATGGGGGTTTGGAGAGGGAATGAGGAATGAGTGGATAGATAATGAACACTGAATTGAACTGAAGAAATATATGATTACACATTATATGAGAACAGTTTGAAACAAGAGGGGCATTTGAGGGGTTGGGGAGGTAGAAAGTAGGGGGAAATGTGCAATAATGAATAGTTTTAAATTCATTTTAAAAAATTATTATTTTTTTTAAAATTCATGCCTCCAAGAAACAAACTGGTTTCACCAAGAATAAAGGAAATTTCTCCCTTCCAGAAAAAAAAAAAGGCAGGGGGGGAATGTGTCTGCTGGAGCCATTGGTCAACGTGGACCAAAATTCAACCCTACTTCCCTCCAGATGGGGGAAAAAACCAAACTTATTAAAATTTAAGTGTGACTGTGCAAATTTATAATCAGGTGCTATATCTGCTGTGTAGGTTTCTTGAGTATAAGCTGTAAAAAAAGGAAGGACGCTGTTCTCTAAGATGCTTTTCCCCTAACCAGACTCCCACTGCTCCATTATAGTGTCCATTCTGTTGTAGAGCTATCCATATTCTGCTGCTGCCGACCAGAGCTAAAAGGAATATGGACTCCTCTTTCAAAGACTGTGGACCCTCAAACTTTAAACCACATTATCTGCTTTTCTAGGGGTATAGGAATGCATACCCTACTTATACTCTCTCCACTAACAGTCAGAACACAAAGTCTGCTCAAATTCTGCCTAAGCTGAATTTTATTCATTTCTTCATTTATTAGATCTATCACTACAAAGAGAAAGACAAGAGGAACAAAGAAATATAACTTATTTTATAGAACATATTCAGTTAAATTGGAAATTATTTCACCCAAGCTGAATTTACTAGAGACAGATTCAAGGGCATAGAAGACATGGAGCACAAGACAAATTAGTTTAGGGCAAATCACTGCACTGACTTGGTGCAAGCTTAAAGCATGTGTCCTATTTGAATCATCATCCTTTCCAGACAGATCTATCTTATAGCTCCAGTTACTAATAGACAGTGTTTCCTTTCAGTTCACTATGACTTTCAACCCTCCACCCCAGAGTTTAGTTATTCTTCTTCTCTATGGAACCAAAATCCTTTCCACTGTTTTGTCAAACTTATCTTGCCTTTATCCATTAAATTCTGCTACCTTGATGCCTCTATATCTCACAAATTGGGCCTGCAAACTCTTCACACAGCACATCCTCTAACTAACATTTCCCCTGAGTGTGGACACAGATCCCCTTGGCTACTGAGTTACTCAGACTCATTATTAACTGTTCAGTTCTATATTTTCTGTCCCCATTACCATCGGCAGTGATTTCACTTCTACTACTTATCCACCCATATTCAAAAGCATCTCAAGAGTGAAATCATGGCTCTTTTTACTATTCAGATCTCTCCATTAGTCATAGAACTTTCCCTGAAATTATAAAACATAATTAAATTCCACCTATTTGGCTTTTTCCCCCCTAACTCTCTTCACACAAGTAGTTCTTTTCAATTTTATATACTAAATGTACTTCCCATTATTTTATTATTTTCACTCATAACATTCAAGGACAGAGGGCTTCAGAGGTTAGGGTTTTTTACCTGATGATGTCGTTTTAATCCAAAATGTAACCTGAATATTTCATTTACCAGTGAGCAGTCTCCACTGAGGTTAGCAGCTCGAATCTATCACAAAGACACAAGACAAATAAAAAGAAAACAGATGTGCATGTTCTACATCTTTATAGTAGTGACTGATTTAAAAAAAAAAAAAGACACTAAGAAACTAGTATTTCTCTAAGAGAGTATAGGTAAAATTCTCTTAAGAGGTTTTGGAAATCTATTCGCTCACAAGTACTTAAATTAAGAAAAATCAGCAAATACCCATTAATTATTCAAGGGACTAGGGGGGAAATTCAATCATCTACCAAAAGCAATTTACTAAATTTTAAACTGTAGCCTTACTGGCAGAACTAATTGCTTCTAAAACCAAAAGTCGGAGAATTGGACCTTAAAACTCATGCTCCTCAAGAAACAAATTACCAAATTTTTCTTCAAGACACAAATTACCAAAAGGACTTCAAAAATGCATTCTTCCAATGATCTACATATTGAATTTCAAAGTGACTTTAAAATCTGAACACTTTAAACATGTGAAACACCCAGTCCTAGACAAAATCACTGAAACTCTTGTACCTTTTCCCTTCAAGCCTGTATAATTCATGACCTTCCTCAAGAGCTTGAATGTTCTAAGAAAAATTAAGTGGTAGATAGAAAGCATTTCTCCATCCAATGCAAAGAATCAAGAATATTCCAAACAGTCATAATGAAAAGCATGACAGCCTAAAGTCAAGATTTATTTTCTAATTAGCCATATTTTTAAGAGAAAAGAAGCCATTTTAAAAAAAAAAATCTTGCACCTATCCATATAGATACAATAGTCTGCCTGTTTAGGTTTTGCTAGCTCACTGCAAATGGAATGACCCACTTCCTGTTACTTCTACAGGAAGATGGCCTCATTGCTCCAAGGAGTTCAAGGCACTTAACACACTTTGAATAGCCAAAAGGCATTAATATTCATAATTCCCAGAAGAGAAGCTTATTTAAAAATTCAGGTTTAGTTAATTCACCTAATAATATAAATTATAATTAGATGAAATGGGGACCATTTGTTAAGAGATAATAAAGTAATCATCTAAGTTATAAGATGCAAACTTGAGATTCATATGGGGGGGGGTTTGTTGTTTTTGTGTTTTTTTCTCTTCACTCCACATTGCACTCTTCAAGTAATGAACTCCACGTATGAAATGCATACATCCCTGTAACAACATATATGCATGTGTGTTCTTCTGAGAGCAATTCAAAGCACGTAACAGTATCTTTTTATGCTGCGGTTTTGAGACCCACTTAAAATGATTATGCTAAATGTTTTATTCCAGGACAAGCAAAAAGAAAAAAGAAAACCTATGGTAGGAACTAGAGCAAGCCAGTTAAAAGGTCCTGGTTATAATCCTGCCAGGCTTGAACTGTTAACTACAGAATTTAATGCACTGAGTAACTTCCTCACTTTCCAAAAATATAACACAGGGAATAGCAATAATAGTAGGCCCCTCGGTATGTAGCTGTGAAGATTAAATAATAATTCATACTAACAGGTAAAACAGCATTTAGCACATGTTGTTGTTTGTGCCAATGAGGAGCTGGATATGACTGATAGCTGACCCTCCACTGAGTTTTCAGAAGCAGTAAATATCTTTAAGTTGGCAGCACAACTCCTTACCACTAAGCAACCACGGTTCCCTATCTAACAAACTGTTATTATTGTTGTCGTTAAGTACTGTCTGAGTCAAACAAAACTTATAGTGATCCTGTGAACAAAACATGTGAACTCTGTTATATCCTGTGCCATCCTCACACTTCTTGACACACAAGAGACCACTGCAGCAGTTACCATGTCAATCTACCTGGTTGAGGGTCTTCCTCACCTTCGTCGACCTTTCACCCTTCCTAGCATCACATCCTTCATCCTTCTCCAAGGAACAGCCCCTCCTAACAACATGCCCAAACTATATGTAAAAGATAGCCCTCAATAAATGTTATTTTTATCATAATTACAAACCTATTGCCATTGAGTCAATTCCAACTCCTAGCAACCCAACAGGGCAGATGTGAGCTGCGCCCCTACCAAGGGTCTTCAAGGCTGTAATTTTTATGGAAGCAAATTGCCACATCTTTCCTCCAAAGACTCCCTGTTGCTGTTGCTATTGCAATTGTCAGGTGTTGTTGAGTATAGAGTACGACTCATAGCAACACTATGAACAACCGGCCTGAACACTGCCCTGTCCTGTGACATCCTCACAGTCTCTGACACACTCAAGCCCATTGCCACAGTCACAGTGTCAACCCACCTGGATGAGGGTCTTCCTCTCTTTGACTGCCCCTCCAACTTTTCAAACATGATGTCCTCTCCAAGGAATAATCTCTCCTAGTAACATGCCTAAAGTATGTGAGATGAAGCTTCATCAACTAGTAGAGTTCAAATCACCAAGTTTTTGGTTAAACAAGGGCAAGTGTTTAAACACAGCACCAACAGGGCCCATTATATAGCTTATTCAATAGGAAAAGTCAACAAATTCTTACCACGATTAAAGTCAGTCATCACTATTAGGACTTAAAAGTTATTTACTAGAATCCTAAAAAATCTTCTTAAAATGTCTCTAGCTATATTTGAAAATTACTTTCAATGATAGTTAAAACAAATGCAAGACTAAGGTGGAACTATAACCATAAGAAAAGTTAAAAGATTTAATAAATTATATTTGAGATAAAATTAAGGTTAGGGTTAAAGTTTGCTAATCACTTGCTAAAACTGGAGAGAAAAAAGTCTTCTACAATGAAACTTACCTCTGAGCAGGCCAAATGTCTGATGTTGGTAAACCAGTTGACATGAGCACGGCAGTGATCAAAAGCATGAATGAGTTCATGAGTGACCACTCGGTTCATATGAGCCTGATTATGGATATTATTTTGGCATAAAACAATCTAGGAGACACCAAAATAAGACAAGTCACGTTTTCTAAAATCTTCTCTCATTTCCTAGAGTCCACAATCTTCCCTACATTAATGAGGCGGGAAGGAGCACCTGCCTGGAATGTCTCTGCCCACTCCTCTCCACCTACCACAAACCACACCCATGCAGCAAGACCAAGCCCTACTTATAGATGCTCCACTGAGCCTTCCTCAATCATTAACTTACTCCTTCTTCTCTCTGTGGACAACAGTAAGCACATGAGAATAAGGACACTAATTGACATTCCATCCTTGCCTTGATGGCTAACCACAACAAACTGCTTGAACTCTACAGCATAATGATTATGAGATAGGTTTTGGAGTGAAGTAGACAGGTTCAAATTCCACTCCTTAGTAACATGGTAACCTTGGGCAAGTTTCTTAACCTCTCCACGCTCAGTTCCTTCAATTAGAAACAGGAGATAATCAATGTACCTACCTTACAGGATTAAATTAAAATATATGTAAAATGCCTATTATCAAGCTTCTGAATGAGAAATGAATGAACAATGAATGCCCGCCAGTGTTCTCATTTCACTAGCATTGTCAGGAAAAATCCCCAGAAAGAATATCAGAAAGAAGTGCAAAAAGCCAAGGGCACACTGACTGAGCAGGACCCTATAAGAATAATAAAGACATAAGGGATCCTAATGATAACAGTTCCCTTTTACTGCATATTTACTATGTGCCACTAGGTTAAGTGCCAAATAGCTTATATACATTCATTCAACATTTAGTATTCAACCAATATACCCTGAGAACTTATCCTAAGTCTTACAGAATTTATAATCTACTGATGTAGAAATTAAACAAATATTTACCAAAATCTGACTTTATGCAATGGTATTTATCATGAAGAAAAGCCCATGCTACAGCACATATAATGAGGACGTCTGGCATGCTCTGGAGGGCTGGGAATGCATCGCTGCAGAAGGAATGGGATCTGAGATCTAACAGATGAGTGGGAGTTAAATTTGAGAGGCACAGAAGTAGGCATTCCAGACTGAGGAACAACATATGCAAAGGTGAAGGAGAGGCTGGAGGAGCAGAATGTTTGAGAGGCTGAAAGCAGGCTCACAGAACCAAAGCCCGGAGGGTTGGAGGTTGCAGGCATGAGACAAGGTTGGTGCAATAGTGGGGCCCAAATCACTGAAGGCCTGTCCTTATCCTAAGGGCAACAGGAAGCCACTGAAAGCGGGTTGGAGGGGGTGGGTCTTCAAACAGGGAGTGCTTTCATTTTCTTTTTTTAAAAATAATAATAATGAGGAGAACGTATAGGAGATAACCAACATAGGATGAAGAGACTATTGCTGTTGTTGCTGTTACTGTTATTACTGTTGCTGTTGTTGTTGTTGTTAAGTGCTCTCTAGCTCTGACGGCTTAGTGGTGAAGAGTAGTGCTGCCAACCCAAAGCCAGACAGTCTGAACCAGCTGCTCCACAGGAGAAAGAAGGGCAATCTTCTCCTTGAAATTTACAAACTTCTGAAAACCCACTTGGTATGAATGGTTCCAACACAACACCACCTAACAACAACCAACCACAACTCACAAAACGACAGATTAGAACCCTACCCTTAACCAATGTTGTTCTCATGATCTCCACCATGCTCAGGCCACTGAAGTATTCTATGAAAGGAAAAATGGCATATGAGCTAGAAAGGTGAGAACAAGTTACTTAGGAGACAAAACTTGATGATAGACAGAATACGGGAAGGGATCAGAGACACCACAAAGAAGCCCTAAATTTCTGGCTTGAGTAATAACATCAGTGATGGTACCATTCACTGAACTACATAAAACTAAAAAGATCAGGTTAGGTGGAAAATGATAGTAAAAAGTCATGAATTTAGAAGTGGGTATGTAAGATCTGAAGTGCCTTTGAGACATAAAAGTGTAGGTGTTAACCTGGCTCTTACTGTCTGGGAAGCTCAGACCTAAGAAAATAAATGAGATTCCCTTGGCAGAATACAGAGCAAGAAAAGAATGAAATCTAACAACAAGCACTATTGTTGTTGTTGTTGTGTACCTTCAAGTCAGAAATGACCCATAGCTGATTCTTTGGTGGCTTTTCAGAGACAGTAAATGCACAGGAAGACAATCCATCCTTCTCATGTGAGCTGGTGCATTCAAATTGTGTGCCTTTGGGATTGCTTTGCAGTTTCTTACCACTAGGCTACCCGAGTTCCCTAATATACAAATACTATTGTAAATAACACAAATGCTGCTGTTATGTGCCACTGAATCAACTATGACTCATAGCGACCCTATGTCCAATAGCTCTGAACCCTGCTCTATCCTGAGCCAATCTCACCATCTCTGACACACCTACCCTCATTACCCCTGTTACTAAGTCAATCAATCTCATCTGGAGTCTTCCTCTCTTGAGCTGTCCCTCAACCCTTCCAAACATGTTATCCTTCTCCAAAGACTGGTTCATCATGGCTACATGCCCAAAGTATGTGAGACAGAGTCTCAAAATCCTTGCCTCCTAGGACTAGTTTGGTTTCACCTTCTCCAGGACAGACCTGTTAGTTCTCTTGGCAGTCCATGGTATGTTCAATATTCTTCTCCAGCACCACAAGTCAGAGGTATCGATTCTTCTGTCCTCTTTGGTCACTGTCCAGCTCTCTGATTAATAGTAAGTAACTGTAAAGACTATGGCCTGGATCAGGCACACCTTAGTTTCTAGACTGACATCCCTGTTCTTCAGCACACTAGATAGGTCCCTGACAGTCAGATTTTCCTAATGCGATTCATCTTTTGATTTCCTGACTGGAGCCAAGAGTGTTGACTGTAGAAACAAGTAAGCCGAAAATGTTAACGATCTCAATCTCTTCTTCATCTATCACTATGTTGCCAGTTGGGCCCGTGGAGAACCTTTGTATTCTTGATGTTGAGCTTCAATCCATATCGCAAACTACAGTCCTTGACCCTCTGAAGCAGATGCTTCAGGGCCCCCTTAGTTTGAGCAAGTAAGGTTGTATCATCTGCATAATGCACGTTGTTGATGTATCTTCCTCCAATGTATCTTCCTCCAATCATTTAAGGGATGGAAGAGGAAGGTAGGCTAACATAGGAAAAAAATGACAAGAGCACTGTGAACTCGGAATCCAGGGAATTATCTTCGGCACTTCCTTCTAAAATATGTGCATGATATATGACCCAGCACTCCATCCTAGATGTTTATGTTGGGAAAACGTTTTCACTTGTGCACCAGAAGAAAACGACAAGAACATCCATAATAGCATTGCTCCTAATAAGAAAACAAATAAGAGTACACACTAGTATAAGCATAGAGTGGAGTATGACACAATGAAATAAACTAGAGCTATATATAACATGGAAGACTCACAAGCAATGCTGAGCAAAAGAATTGTTAGATAAAGTATACATAGCATTATTTAATTTACATAAAACTCAAAGTATTCCATTTATAAAGTTAAAGCAAGAAAAATTAAATAACACACTGTTGAGGGTACAGACAGATATGTGATAAAACCACTTACAAAGCAAAGAATGATTACCACAAAGCCAGGCCAATGATGCAATAACTCAAAAGTTAGCAGTTTGCACACCCATGTTTATTGCAGCTTTGTTCACAATAGAAAGGAGTTGGAAACAACCTAAGTGCCCATCAACAAACGAATGGATAGAGAAGCTGTGGTATATTTGCACAATGGAACACTATGCGGCATTGAAAAACAAGGAACTCATGCAATATTATTCAAAATGGTTGACTCTGGAGAACATTATGCTGAGTGAAATATCCCAGTCACAAAAGGACAAATATTGCATGGTGCCACTGTTGTAGAATGGGACTGACCTTGGGGTTGGGGAGAGACTGAGTAAGATGGGTTCACTAATGTATACTGCACTGAAACAGAGGGAGAAAACTGTTTAAAAGAGATAGGTGACTAGGTATTTCTGTCATGACAGGAGTCTAGAGCAATGGCTACATGGTGAAGTGGACCTGGGGGAGGGTTTGTAAAACAATGAAAGAATCTTTTCTTTTACTTTTCCAAGAGGGTAGTGTTCTGGGATGGGGGGGAGCCTTGGGAGGGGACAAATCTACAACAATGAATGAATGGAAATCCAAAGCCTCTGTAAATTTTCACTGAAATTAATAACAAATTTAAATTTAAAAAAAAAAGAATTAAGTTAGAGGAAGGATGGCAATGGATTTATAACTGCTCAAGCTAATAACACTATATTGTGGCATGGAGGAGGAATAGTGGAAATGTATCCACATTTACAACATTCCTCTTACCAAAAACATTTATGGAAAATAGGTACTGCATTGGAACATATATCTCTGGATTGGAAATGATGATATTGTTAATACTTCTAGCCATAAGCTTAAAAGATTATAATGTTAAAAATTATTTGTTATACATTTGCTTAAATTTTTCCCTCTTTTAACAACTGGGATCTAGAGGGAAGAGAAAAAACCAGAGAATGGCCAAAATTATTGGGGCAGCTATTGCTGCCAGTTTAGGGCCTGTATCAGGAAAAGGAACTCTTACTCATATACAGTGCCACCCAAAGGTAATAAAGGAGGTCAGAATTGCTTCCACTGTGGAAAGCTGGGCCACTTCAGTAGACAGTGTCACAGACGAGAGCCACAGATAGGCAAGGGAGTAGAGAGGAAGCTCCCACTCACTTGCTTTAAGTGTGGCTCTGAAGGACACTTGGCCAAGGTGGCCCACATCAGGTCCTCGTGGCAGACAGGACTGACAGGCCCCACCTCCCAGCTGGAAACAAAGGAGGACACTTCAACGATTTAGATCCTCCCAGAAGAGCCGTGGATGAGCATGAACATTACTGGTAAGTATATTCATTTTCTCCTGGACACAGAGCCTACTAATTGGTCCTAAAAGCCTTCTGAGGTCCCAACTCTTCTCACTATCTCTTAGTTGTTGGAATAGACGGAAAACCTCATAAGCAGTTTCTTATTTCACCTCTACCTTGCATGTGAACTTCCGAGTTTTAAAACAGCCCAGTGGTAGATGGAATTTGCTCCAGGAGTTAAGAAGCATAAATGACATAGCTGAGCCTCTACATCTTGTGGTTCCTAACCTATACACTATAATAGACAAAGTGCTAGTCTATAGGCCTTTTATTATAAGAACCACCTTCCCTCTGTAACTTGATTTGTGCCACTACTAGAACCTCTACTCGGAATATTATTGCTTGTTAATTTTTTACTCATGTACTTTTAACTTGTTAAATTTGTGTCTTCTAGGTTGCAACACCTCCATGATACATCTTCAAGGATATGAACATGTACGGCTAAGCACAATTAATAACAGTGCATCTAAATTCCAAAATCAATCTCCATAATAGTCTATGTGTTTCCTATTGCCAAAGGGGCCCTTTAGAGTAGTGAGAGAAGATCTTCACCCTGAAACCCACAGCGTCCCTTTTCAGCAGGAAGTAGCTAAGACAATACGCCATCCCTTTTTCCTTATGAATCAGGGTGAGTCTCTCTCAGGGAGGAGTGATAGGGAATGGCAAAGGACACACTGACAAAGGAGATTAATCAGAACTGACTTTGACAAGCACTGTGGCAATTGGACAATTAAAACAGACATTCGGGTGGCGGGGGAAGAAGAACAAACTGGGGAGGAGGGTAGAGAGAATGGTGCAGCAATGAAGGAATGAAAACCCAAAATCCCTGTAAATGTTCATTAAAACTAATTAAAAAAAAAAAGTTAGCAGTTTGAACCCACCCATGTTCTACAGAAGAGAGGTGTGACAGTGTTAAGACTGACAGCCTGTATGGAGGTTAACAAGATTGATAAGCCCTACATAGTAGGTCCTACTTTGAACTGTCACTAGAAATCAGAATTCAACACTAGGCAGCAATGGTTTTGGTGTATATAATTAATAATAAAAATATAATTTGAAAAATAAAAGGAGAAAGTGCCCACTGTTTTTTAACACTGCTGAAGAAATCCAAAAGGTCTGCTCTATTTAACCACAACAGGAATGAATTTATGAAGAATTATTTTGGTCAGATTTATAAGTGTTATGATTACAAATTTATAAATTACTAAGAAAAAAAATATATAAAAGACAAATAGCTTGCCCAGGGCCTCACAACTAGTAAGTGGAAGAACTGGGATTAGAACCAAATCTATCTGACTCCAATACCCAGATTTCTAACCCTTTTGCCATTCTTCTTTATCCCATGATTACCATATTTCTAATGTAAAAGATAGTATCTACTGTGCAAAATACAGAATAGTACAAAATAAAAAGTATATATAAAAAATTCTTAGGAGGAAATACTGTATAGTTAAACTTAGGTTGTATCTCAAGATAAAAATAGTTACTTTTAACGGTTTCATCTACTCTTATCACATGACATCATCCACATACCACCTAGAAGACTCTCACAAGCCTTTAATAAATTAAAATAATAATAACATTAAATACTGGAATAAGCATTTTTATAAGGGATAATTTCATTTAATTATAATTATTCTATAAAGTAGATAAAATTATTACTCCTATTTTACAGATGAGAAAAACCTACTTTCCTTATAAAATTTTCAAAGGTGTAACACTTCTCACTGTGTAAAGGTGAAACTTTCAGTTTCATATTTATATCTTTCATCACACCTCTCTTTCCAATCCCCTAGCTCCTCATGCATTCCTGCCCTCTAGATACACTAGTCAGATACCCCTGACACACCTTGGGTTTTCCCAGCCCCCTCTGGCTTATGCTGCCCCTGTGCTGGGCAGCAGTATGTCTTTTTGGCACCCCCGCCTACCCTTAAAGGGGGCTTTACACCCTTTAGCTGTATCTGCTGGCACTTCTTGGTCACTATCCCATTCTGACAATCACGCCCACCTAAAATAGCTGCCTCAAATTTAAAAATTGTGTGCACTTTTTGAATCCTACAAAAACAGCATGTCCAGCATGAGGTGCTCAGTAAATATCAAGAGAAAGAGTTGGAAGGAAGAAAACAACTGGGCAAACATGCCTACCTGAGAAGATGAAGCATCAAAACCTCCACTGACATTTCCATTACAGTCTTCACAAGAAAAGTGTCTTTCTTTCGTAACGGCACTAAAAGGCAAGAGTGAATTAAAGAGACAATGACCAGAAGTGTGCACGTGTGACTGAGGAAACAGCCCTGGGTCAGGAGTCAAGAGACTTTTCTGGCAAGTTTTCTAGCAGCTAATACACAAGAAGCCTTAGGAATGCAACTGAACACCTGCATGACTCCATTTTCTCATCTGTAAAATAAAGAGACTATCTCTGCAAAATCTATCCTAGTTCAAAGTCTAGGAGTTTTGAATTCCCCAAGTGGAAATATATTGCAGATTCTGCTCTTGGGCCAGAATATTAAGTCATTTCCTCAAAACCTCTCAAAGTTGAACACATGAAAGTTTTCTAAGCAACAAGCTGAAATTTCATCTCTGTTAAGAACAATGTCTATACTATTATAAGACCACTATTATAAAAAGTTCCTTTTCTGCATGGAAGGAAAGGTTTATGTACAAACAGAATCCTTCTTAGATGGTTACCAGAGATGGGAAGGAGGGATAGGAAAGTAAAAACTAATAAACACCTAAGTTGGTTGAAGGGAAAGACATTATTCATAAGAGGTTGGTCAGACATCATTATTCACTATATAAATCAATTACAATTGGTGTTCTAAAACAAAATATATATGAATGATTGAATGAAAAATCACTATAATTTATAATCTTTCACTCAAATTTAAAAAGGAAAAACAACAAAACTAAGCTATTGTAGTTGGAAGGTCAACTTTGGTAATTAAGCAAAAGAAGGAGCAAAGCCAGAGATCAGGAGTTAGGGCAGAAGACATCGGCAAGAGAAGGGCTGTCTGGAAAGAAGAGAGCTGATCACTCTACCTGCTGTACAGAAAGGGGAAAGTGGCCTCAAGTAAGAAATATTAATTCATTTTTATGATTTTTCTTTTCAAACAGTCAGAATAAGGCAAAATATTTCAAAAAGATATACTTACCAACCGGAGTGCTTCATAGCATCAAGTAGAAGTTTAACATATGGATCTAAAAAAAGACATTAATTTGATTAAATATAGTGACTGGAAAAATAGCACCAATTAAATATACCTACAGCTCTGGTGGCCTAGTACTAAGAATCTGCACTACAATCGCAAAGGCACAAGGTTCAAAACCACCAGCTGCTCTGCGGGAGGATAGGCAATCGCCTCCCATGTGATTAACTGTCTCTGAAAACCATCTGCAGGGTCAGCTATGGGTTGGTTCTGACTCCACTCATTATCTATCACTCTGCATTTAAAAAAAATTGACTACACAGTGCCTGATGGCAATGACCAATGGCAAATGTATGGGCAAGGGACTGGTAAGCGAGCAATGAGGGCAGCACCACCTGGGGGCTGAAGCTGGGTATGGAGAAGCAGCAGAGGTCCAGACAATTCAGAAGGGTAGAGTGGGACTAGGGGCATAAGAGCATGACGGCCACGTCCATGAGCCCAGCCTGCAGGACTGAGCAGACTGGAAGTGCTCATGGCTGCCAGAACGAGTGGACTAGATGAGTTCCACAGGCTGGCCTGTGATACAGGAGGAAGGCTCCTTAAAGTACCAGGAAAAGCAGGGAGGCAGCCTAGCAGTGCAGAAGCTGCAGGATGCAAGCAGAAATTGCAGAAACAGGCGAAGGAGGACTTGTGCACGCTCCTACAGCAGCCAGAGCAGGACAACTCAGGACAGCTCTGAGAAGCAGAGTGTTCTGGGGCACAAGAAAACCATATTGTGACAGGAGTGGTACCTCAGGCAGGAGGCAGCAATCCAGGGAACAACCCCTACATGCCAGGAGAATTACTAGATGTTATGGAAGGCCCAGCCTGTTAGGTCTCACTCAAGCAGGAAATGCTCCTAAGGGTGCAAGAAGTAAACTGGGTACCTGGGGGATAAGTGGCTTGAGCTGTCCAGACAATATACCTGGAGGGGAAAAGAGTCCTGGAAGGAAAGGGTTGGGGGTGTCAAGGGTCATAGGACCAGGAAGCACAAGCAGAGGAGAGGGGAACACTAGATGTTAAGGCTCAGAGGAGTAAAACATTGAGCCATGTCTGCAGGGAAGCTACAGAGGGCAACACATAAGGAAGTTATTTTACATACAATATTTTTTTTTAACAATGACCTAACAATGTCAGTAAGTGAGGAAAGATATATACAACTCCCAGGTCTAATTAAATAATGTCATTTTCTTCTTTTTCTTACTATTACGTGCTGTCATAACTAACTCATAGGTGACCCATCAAGCAGGTTTTCACAGGCTGTAAACAGCACAGGAGGTGACTGCCCATTTTTCTCCCAAGGAGCAACTTGTGGATTGAAACCATGCCTTCAGGTTGGCAGTACAACTCCTTACCACTAACTATGCCACCAGAGTTCCAATGTCATCTTAGCACTGATAAAAAATGGGTGTGAAAAGATAAATTTTAAATTACCATAGATCTTTAACAAAATAAAACACTGACATAAACGCCAACATGGGTACCACAAAGCATTTAGATTAGATCAGTAATCAATTACATGGTATTACAGTATATACCAAAAAGATTAAGGGAATTTGGGGCCACCTCTTCATCTCACATACGTTGAGCATGTTGTCAGGAAGGGTCAGTCTTTTAAAAAAGGACATCATGCTGGGAAAGGTGGAGAATCAGAGAAAGAAAGACGCCCAACAAAAAGGACTGCCACAGTGACTGAACAACGGGCTCAGGCATGTCAGAGATGGTGAGGATGATAGGACAGTGCAAGGGTCAGGTCTGTTGTTCAAAAGGTCACCATAAGTCATAGACAACTTGGGGGGGGAGGGGTTTGTGCGGGGAGAAGGGCGCAACAATGAATGAATGGAATCCCAAAATCTCTGTAGATGTTCATTGAAATGAAAAATAAACAACCTAAATTAAAAAAAAAAA